CACAAGCCTTCCCTGTCTGCATGGGGACAGCAGAGATGGGACATTGCCCGTGCCAGCTGCACAGAGTGACTGTGCAGAGTGAATGACAGGGGATGGACAGAAAGCAGGACAGGGCAGGTGATCACTGAGGGGCAGGCAGGGCCATGGGTCACTCACCCAGCTGCTCAGGAGCCTCACGACCCTCAGTGCTTATTAGGTACTTGATGCATACTAGATTCTATGGCAGACACCCAAGCAGAGCCCATAGTTGCAGCTGCCACAAGGAAAGTGCACCGGCATGGAGAGAAGGAGAAGAGGGCTGACTGTGATGGGAGGAAGACAAGGTCTCAGGACGGACAGGCCTGAGCCACCTTTTAGTCCTTGGAGTGCAGATGGCTTGGGAGAAAATGTCACTCTCTCTTCCCACTCTCATTGGGTTCTGGGCCATGATGCATTCAGGGCCCTCGGTGGGCAGAAAATCAAACCCAGGGACTCCCACACTTCTGGAGCCCATTTTAAAGCTTTCTGAGCTCCAGCTCGGTTCCTGCCAGAGACCATGGATGACTGTGAGCTCAGTCCCTGCCTGGGACTATGGGTGACCCTGAGCTGGGGTGTGCTGTGTCCGTGACACTCTCATTCTCCCCCAAAGGATCTGTTCAAGAAGGTGGAGCTCTACGAATGTCTGGGCTCCATCTGGGGCCAACGAGCTAAGAAGGGGAATGAGCACGTGGCACCCACAGTTCGTGCCACCGTCGCACACTTCAACAGGCTCAAGAACTGTGTCACCACCTCCTGCCTCGGGGACCACAGCATGAGGGCCCAGGACAGGGCCAGGGTGGTGGAGCACTGGATCAAGGTGGCCAGGGTAAGCCATGGTTGGGCCTGAGGCTTCCCTCTTTGAAAAAGGGGAACTGGCTCTTCTCCTCCATCGGCTTTCAGGATTGGCTTCTGTATCTCTAGCCTGAGCCCTGCACATTCCCTAGGAGGTTGTTGCCGGAGGTTCACTGACCTTGACTCCCATGGCCCAGTGGTATTTGCTCACTTCTGACCTGGGTTCTTCCTTGGGTTGAACTAAAATCCTCCTAGATGAGTGACATTCACTCGGCCACAGGTGTGCCCTCCGAAGGGTTCCCGGGCCTCTGCTTCATCCAGGAGGGGAGATCTCAGCAGAGGGGGCTGAGGCTGAAGTGGGCCAGGCTCCACCCATGGACCTCACAGCTCACTCTTCCCTCTTCAGGAGTGCCTAAGCCTCAACAACTTCTCCACGGTGCACGCCATCATCTCCGCACTGTGCAGCAACGCAATACATCGGCTACACAAGACATGGGCAGCGGTGTCCAGGTGAGGAGGACTCTCTCCATGGGAGCACCGGGTTGACCTAGGGACCTGTATGTCTCCCCACGTGCCCTCAACGACTCTGAAAGGTTCTTGGAGTCCAGGGACACAAGGCAGGGATGGACTGGTGGGTGTGGTCACTAAGCTGCCCTGGACTTCTAGGCAAGGATTTCCAACTCGGGACTACGGTTTTTTAACCATCAGGAACAGACTAGAGCCAACTGGAGACTTTCAGGTGTTTGTATCCAGCAGTGGAACTGTGTCCAAATAAAAACTAACTGTAAACACACAGTGGCTCACGTGAAGTGGAGACAGGGCCCAGGCGAGGAGCATGAAAACTCCCACCCTGTTCCTCTGGAGCCCTTGTCATCAGAGGACCCCACTGGAAACTCTCACCCAGGAAGTTGGGATTCTCTGGATTTTCAAACAAAAGGGATTGGATTGGAACTCACAACTCTCCCCAGTGTTTCCCAAATCTACCCTTCTTTCTTTCCTCTGTCTATAGCAAAAGCACAAAATATCTAAAACAACTCTGCAAAAAAGACACTGCAGTGAAGAGGGACCTGCTGATCAAGGTACAGTGGAGTCTTGGAGATGCGGGACAAGTGTTTAAGGGTCAGAGAAAAGAGTGAGTTTGGAAGGTCATTGGAGCTAGTGTGCAGTAGTTATTTTGTTTTGTTTTGACTTACCTACTAAAAGTGGACTTGAAAAATTCCCTCCATGCCTACCTTGGGCCAACAGGAAGAGAGGTGTGAGGGTCCATGGGCACGTGGGGGCACGGGGGCAGGAGGCCCTGGAAATGGGATGTGGCAATGGCTGCTGGGCTGCTGAGCAGGGGTGATGAGTTGCAGCATTAGCAGGGCTCTGGCTCCCATGCTGGTCCATGCTGCTGGCATGGAGCTTCCTCCAGGCTGGGGGGTGGTCATGGTAGGTGGGACTTTCTTCCTATCTCAAACTGACCAGCAATTCCTGAGAAAGCCAGGCCTCTGCTGCTGCTTCTGTCTGCAGCGCACCTCCATGGGCAGGGGCCTCTATCCACACTGCGGGAGACGGGGAACAACAACAGAGGAAGCTCATGTGCCAGGGAGTCCAGTGGGCCGCCCAGCTTTGGGTACCAATGGGCATACTCGGGACAGATGTATGTGTTTGCCGGGACTCCCTGTTCTGCCCTTTGCAGACACCCGAAAACGGTCATGTCGCAGGATTCTCACCAGTGAGCAGTGACACATGCTCATGACAAGTATGTGGGGGATTCATGCATTCCTAGGGGATCCTCCCTGACCAGATCGCAGAATCCTCCATGCAAATGAGAAGGCAACATGTCACCCCACCCAGGATTCTGGAAAACCCTGCCATGTCAGTCAGAGATGGGGACACAGGAGGCCACATCCTGAGTAGAGGAAGAGAGAGTTCTGTGCATGGAAGTCCCCTGAGGGATCAATGGCGAGGCAAAATCTTTGGCATGGTCCAAATGCAGTTTGTGTGGCAGAGACTCCAGCGGGGCTCAGATAGGCAGGTGCCATTTAACCAGGTCTCCTAAAACGCCCTGTCCCTTTCCCATCACGACTGTGCCTGGTTGCAGACCTAGACACTCAAGAGACTCCAGAGAACACGACCCTGATGGGTGGTGGTGCTGAGATACTGGGTGAAGGCAGCCGAGACACAGCCTCCACGACGGGGAGGAGGCGCCCTCTCTTTTGGGTCCCTGGGGAGTCACTGCCCGCTCTGGGCCTCTGTTTGTTCTTCTGGAAACTGAAGGGATGCTGAGCCTGTAGTGCAGCCCTCACAGGATAGAAACGAGGTTCAAGAAAAGAAAGCAATTTGAGGGTGCTCATGCCTGGTTCTTCCTCAGAGGGATGAGGATGAGAACAATGGCAACAGGAATAGGAAACAGTACTCAGGAGGCCCTGTGAGGTAGCTGTGGTTTTCATCGCTCTTTACAGAAGAGGAAACAGTCTCAGGCAGGCCCGGTTGCCTGACTGGGTGACATACACAGGAGTGTGGAGCTGGGCCAGTGGTATCAGCACTGTGCCAGGTGACTCACGCCAGTCCCTGGGGATCCAAGTGTGGGGTGGCTGGGGTGTAACTGGGGGAAGGGAAGAGAGCCTCACTGTCCCTGTCCCTGACACCTGGCAGGCGGGGAGCTTTAAGGTGGCCACCCAGGAGAGGAACCCCCAGAGAGACCAGATGAGATTGCAGAGGCAAAAGAAGGTGAGCGAGCCTTATTCATGGAGGGGCCGCAGGGGATCACAGGACAGGCCTCCCTTCCCCACCAGCTGGAGGCCTCCATATCAAGACAGTGGGGGCTTCCACCCAGCCCTGTCCTCCTGTGGACACTGGGCCTGGAAAATCTCCATTCAAGAGACCAGAGCAAGGGTATGGGAAAGCTGGACTCAGAGTGGATGTGGGGAAGGGTAAGGTTGGGACCACATGCCCCTGTGAATTGTTAAAATCCCACCATAGAGTGGGATTTTAATAACTAGGAGTGCTTCCTAGACTTGGAGGTAATCTGGGATAGAGGAGGCAGAGAATAGGGAAAGGCAGCTGAGGGTCTCTGGTTGCTCCATCTGGGAGACCTAGGGAAGGGGGTTCTGGAAGACAGGGGCTGATGGGATTTCATGGGACAGGACAGTGGGCAGCCATCTGATGGACAATACTCATCACCACTTCCCCAACCCTCCTTGGCACAGGGAGTGGTCTCCTTCCTGGGGGATTTTCTGACTGTGTTACAGAGGTTGGATTCGGCCATCCCGGATGATCTGGATGTGAGTGAGCCTGGGGCAGGTTGGTTGGGAACCAGGAACCTGAGACTTGGGAGGAGAGGGGCCTGGACTGAGCCCTTAGATCTCAGCCCTTGGCAAACCTGCTCTCCTAAGATCCTCACAGCTGCTCCTGTGGGTGGGGGTGTCAGGCCCATCTCATCACCTCTGTGAGATGGAGGCTCCACGGCAGCCACCAGTCCCTATCCCTGAGTGGTGAAGCTGCAGAGCTGCCTGACTGCAACGCTGCTGAGGTGTGGGCTGAACTGGACTCAGCGACTCCCTAGGGTAACCCGTAATTGGAGAGTGAAATTGAGCCTCTCCAAGGGCAGGCAGTTCCAAGGTCACTGAGTGCTTTTTTTCTGTAACAGACCTCAGTTTCCCTGTCATAAGACAGGGTTGGGGCAGAGTGTCCCTGAGCCTCAGCTCCCATGCTCCCTGCTCTAGAGCATGGAGTCTGAGGCATATTCAAATCCTGTCAAGTGCACATCCCCTGACCCTGGTGGCCCTGGCAGTAATGCAGCATGGGAAGGGTGGGGTGGGGCTGGTTGAGGGCCAGGGACCTTTCTGATGGACTCTGTCTGCCTTCCAGGGCAACAGCAACAAGAGGAGAAAGGTGAGCAGCTGGGACATTCACATTAGAGGAGGGTGGGGATGTGGACCTCACAGTCCACCCTGGGCAGGACACTCCCTGGCTCCGTCCTCTACATCTTAGAAAGTTACTGGGAGGGTTTGACACACACAGCAGGAAGAGATCTATCCTCATGTAGAAATTGGGAAAGGCACTGGATCAAAGACCAATTTCTGCAGGAGGGGATGTTTACATCCAACTCTGAGAGCAGGCTGGGGACTACATAGGGCCCCTTCAGAAAACTGCCCTAGGGACCAGCCCCTTCTCCCTGCCTACCAAAGCCCCCCCTCAGCATCTTCCCCCCAGGCCCTGTCAGCAACCTCTCGTCTGTCTCTAGGAGGTCCGAGTTCTGCAGGAAATGCAGCTGCTCCAAGTGGCTGCCATGAATTACAGACTTCAGCCTTTGGATAAATTTGTCACCTATTTCCCAAGAATGGAGCAGCTCAGTGACAAGGAGAGGTGAGGGCCTAGCGGATGGGCAGATGGTGGGAGAAGGCTCTCCATTTTATTTTAACAAGGTTTGGCTCTGTTGCCCAGGCTGCACTGCAGTGTCACCATCTTTGCTCAATGCAATGTCTGCCTCCTGGGCTCAAGGCCTTCCTCAGCCTCTCAAGCAGCTGGGACTGCTGCGGTACACCATGTCCCAGGACACAGTACAGCCTGTGCAGACACCATGTCCTGCTGTTCTGCTGCTGTTGTTCTGGTACAGATGGGGTTTCACGATGTTATCCAGGCTGGTCTCAAATTCCTGGCCTCAAACAATCCACCCCACTCAGCCTCCCACAGTATTGACATTACAGGTGTCAGCCACCCCACGTGGCCTAGAGGAGGCTCTCCTGTGGCCAGCTACAGAGAGCCTATGACCATGACTCCATGACCAGCATCAAGCCCTGTTGCATGGGGACCACTGGGGACCCAGGATTCCAGCTGGGCAGTCACTGAGTGGGGACTTGATGCGTGGCTCATGGTGGCCTCACAGCTACCTCTCTCTCCTGCAGCTACAAGCTGTCCTGCCAGCTGGAGCCCGAATTCCAGTAGGCTGGCAACATCCTGCAGTGGCTGGGACCCCACCAGGATGCTGCCCAGAACACCGGCTCTGCACCATCCTTCACCCAGACCGTGACACCAGGGAACCACATCTAGGTGGCTGGCAGCTCAGCTGCATCTGGCCCCTGCTCCTCAACACAAGCTGCTCCTGCTGGCCCGGATCAGGCCATGGGACTTTTGCGAGTCAGGGGGAGATCATTTTATGGTTATTTTCTTTAGTGTATACGTAAGGGTTTTTTTCTTAACTTTCATTAAAATAAAATTTTAAAACACTATTCAAAATGTTCTATAGTTGTTGGCATGAGAAAAGTTCAGCCAGTGCAGTAACTGTATACCAGTCTTCAGGATTCATAGTCTAGTATGTCAAATTGAGGCTATGGCTAAACAAGTCATAGAACAGCGTTCACATTACACATGCCAAACATTTCATGTTTTCCCTTTTTATTCAAATTGATTATTGTTAACTCTGTTTAAGGAAAACAAAAAAACCCAAAAACCCTTAAAAACCATAATATGTCACCCAATCTACCACACTTGTTCTACTGACCAGCTACTCTCAAACTTAAATTCTAGTTAAATTCAACTTCCACTGGGGTACTCTACTTTCTTAAGGTTTGAATATTTAATGAATCACTTAAATATTTACTGACAGGCTGGAGATGGGAGGTATTTAAGCAAGCAGTAGGGCTGGCCTTCTGCAGAAGTCCTGGGCTGAAGAGAGCTGGCCATCAGTCTCCACAAAATACAGATAAACTTTTTCCACTATGGATCTTCCCAGACTTTCTGACACTTCTCCCCTAAGTGAGCATCAAGGAAGGAGAGAATCATTTGAACCCAGTATCAAAAGGATGTCCCAGAGCTTAATTTGAACACAAACCCCATTGTGCCATATCAGACAAAAACAAGACAAAGAAGTCAACATTTCAGGGTCTGCAATATCATACCTCTAAATCAACACCAAATAAACACCTAAACCCAATCCTGGAGCCGCAAAGCTCCTGTAAGAAAAGTGAGAGTCTGTATCTCAGCAAAACTTGTATCTCTGCATGCAGTTTACAAAAAGGAAAGAAAACTAAAGCAAAAATTATCTATGGCAAGAAATCTTTGACCATGTAATTGATTTGGCAATACTTTTTCTTATTTTTTGTTCTTTTTGGATGGAACAATAAAATCACTGCTAACAAATGTGAATACAAACACATGAGACTATACATCATTTTAGAGCTACCACATGGGGAAGAGAAACAATGAACTATTAAAAAGAAGGCATCCTACAGATTGAAAGAAAGTTCAGCAGAATCACATCTGTGAAAGTGGTTGTTAATCTAACATATGAGAAACTAACACTACTCTAACTGGGAAAATGAACAAAACCAAATACCCAAGCTAAAACTGGGCAAAGAACCTGAACAGGCACATCTGAAAAGAAAACACGAAATTCAATGACAGGTCAAAGAGAAGCTGCTCAACTTCACTAATCCTCACACAAATGTCTAAGTACAAACCACACTCAAATACCTCTCACTTTAATTAGAATGAAACTTACCAAAAACAAAACAAAACAAAACAAAACACAACCCATACATTCACAGGCAGAGGCCAACGTAGAAATGCAGAAAAAGACACTTTCATACACTTTTTCTGGGAATGTACATTATTATACACACGAAGCAAAGCAGTTGAAGGTGCCTTAAATAACATTTGACGTTACAACTACCCATTCACCTAGCAATCCCACCGCCAGTTATACACAGAAAGCACATGGAATCTGTTATGTTGAAGAGATATCGGCCTTCCTATGGCGACTGAAGCACTATGCACAATAGCGAAGGTATCCAATCAACCTACCTGTTCATGCACAGATGAAGGGATAAAGAAACTGCAGTACACAATGGAATCCTCTTCGGCCATAGAAATTCACGAAACCATGTCATCTGCAGCAACATGCAGAAACCTGGAGGACATGACCTTCAATGAAACGAGTCAGGCAGAGAAAGCCAAACACGGCATGATTTCATGCATGTGAGAATGAAATCAGCTTTCTCTCTAAATGACTTTATCTCCTAGATATAGAAAGTTCCACAGTGGTGAAGGGAGGCTGTGGGATGAGGAATCCCAGCAGGAACTGGGAAGTGGATACAATGTTACACTCAGATGACAGGAATAAATTCAGCTGTTCTACTCCACAGCAGGGTGTCTAGACTTAACAGTATCCCACCATATTTTCAAAAAAAGGCTGAAAAGAAGGACTCTGAATATTGCAACCACAGAGAGCTAATGAATAATAACTACACAAGGTAACAGAGACAGTTAATGCCTTGCTTTCATCATTACACAAGGTATATATGCATAGATCAAAATGTCCCACTCTACTCTTTAATTGTATACTTTTACTATAGAACAAATTGTTCTTAAGGACATAGAAAGAAACAATGCTGAAGTTCATGTGAGACCAGGAAATGCCCTGTATTTCCAAAGCAATTCTGAGAAATCCAAATTACACTGGATGCATCACACTCTGATTTGAAATTTCACTCAAACTCTAGGGACCTGCTTCCACATGGATGAGTGGAAGAGAACAGAGAACTGGCATAATAAACTCACACACTTCATACCACCTGATTCTGGATGAAATATACAATAAGTAATGGGAAAAGAACTCCCGATATCTTCTGCATACGGCGAGCCTCTACTTCTCACTATGTACCAAAGTTCACTCAGATGAATGAAGGATATAAATGGAAGACCTCAAAGTACAAAAAGCCTACAAGAGACCCCAGGAAATACCCTTCGACATCAGCTTTGACAAAGCATTTATACGTCTAAGACCCCACATGACCCTGCAACAAAAGCAATAATCGACATGTGGGACCTAATACACTAAAGAGCCACCACACAACACAAGAAATTACCAACAGAGTAGACAGACGACATACAGGATGAGAGAAAATGTTCCCAAAGTATGCACCTGACCAAGGTTCTAATGTCCAGAATCTACCTTAAAGACCTCACACAAATCAATTAGCAAAACTCCCCAAATAATTAATAGGCAATGGATATAAGCACACACTTCTTGAAAGATGATATACAAGCAACCCAAAATTTGAAAATATGTTGAACCTAATTATCGGAGAAATACAAATCAAAAGCACAATGCGATATATCGCACCCTAGTCAGAATAGCGATTACACAGTTAAGAAAATAAAAACGACACTGGCGAGGCAGCAGAGAAAGGGGACACAGGTCCGCTTATGGTGAAAATGCAAAGTAGTTCAGACACCACGGAAAGCATTTCAGAGATTGCTCAAAGAACTTAAACCACAACTACCATCTGACACAGGAAGCCCACCACTGGGGTATACACAAAGGAAAATAAATCCTTTTGTCCAAAACATACATGCACACAAATGGTCTTGGCGGCACTATTAACAATGGTAAATACGTGAAATCAACCTAGGCACCCATGAACAGTGGACCAGAAAGGGAAAATTTGGTACAGATATACCATGAAAAACTAGGCAGCCGTTAAAAAAAAAAAAAAAAAAAAAAAAAAAAAAAGAAATCACATCCTTGGCAGCAACATGAAAGGAGCTGGAGGCCATTATCTAAAGGCAAAGAAGGAAAACACAGAACACCAGATGCCATATGTTCTCCCTTCTAAGGTGGAGCTAACACTGAATACACCCGACCGTAAAAGTGAAAACAACAGACACTCATGAATGATGACTAGCAGATGAAAAAGGAAGAAGGGACGAGGTATGGGCTAAAGATCTACCCGATGGGTATAACCACTCCCGGCGTGATAAGGTCTCTGGGACCCCAGTCTCAGTGTCATGCAATATACCAAAGGCAGTAAGTAATCTGCCTTTGTACCCTTTAGTCTATAATAAATGTAGAAATTAGTTAAAAAATACAAACTTAAAACCTAAAATAATGAATGAAAAACACAAACTTTTATAATTATCGGAACAATCATTTATTGGCATAAACTAAGAAAGTGGACAGTATGAGTAAACCAAATAACCCCCAATTTACATATAGTGAACACATTTTTCAAAAGAACACCAAAGAGACACAACGGGCAAAAGAGAGCTTGTTCAATAAATGATTTTGAGTAGACTGAATATTCACAAACAAAACGCTAAACTAGGACCCTTGTGTCATGCAACACAAAAATCAATGCAAAATACGTTAAAGGCCTAAAAATTCTGAAACCACAAAACTCCTACAAGAAAACATAAGAAGCACATGTATTTTCAGAAAGAAATCCATGCACATAGGCTGCTAAAGGTGTTTTTTAAAAATTGAAACAAAGGAAGCACTCTTAAGAAAACACCCATAGACAATGTAATGGGTTGGCATTTTCACTAAAAAGCTGAGCGCCCGCTTCCACAGAACAGTGGAACAGATTAGAAGACCCAGATAAAATGTGCACACCTGAAATCATCATACTTGAAAAAAAATCAACAAAAATAAGCAATGGAGAAAGGACTCCCTACCACTAAGTGGTGTTGGGATCAGTGGCTACCTAGATGCAGAAGAAATAACACTGGGCCCATGTCTCACCATGTACAAAAAGCAACTCAAATTGAATCAAAGATTGAAATGCAAAATCCTGGGCTGGGCGCAGTGGCTCATGCCTTGAATCCAAGCACTCTGGGAGGCCAAAGCGAGCAGATGACTTGAGGTTGGGGAGTTCGAGACCAGCCTGGCCGACATGGTGAAACCGTGTCTCTACTAAAAAAGCAAAACTTAGCCGGGCATGGTGGTGTGTGCCTGTACTCCCAACTACTCGGGAGACTGAGGCAGAAGAATCACTTGACCCCGGAAGGTAGAGGGTGCAGTGAGCCAAGATTGCTCCATTGCATTCCAGCCTGTATGATACAGCGAGACTCAGTCTGTAAATAAATACATAAATACATAAAAATCCAAGACCTGAAACTATAAAAAAATCCTGCACAAGAATCTAGCAAATACCCTTCTCGACAGAGGCTTTGGCAAAGCATTTATATGTCAAGTCCCCAAAAGCAATGGCAAAAAAAGCAATTACTGATAAGTGGGACCTAATACACAAAAGAGCTGCTGTACAAGAAACAACCACAGAGCCAACATACAGCCTATAGAATGAGGGAACATATTCCCCAACTATGCATCTGAAAAACGTCTAATATCCAGGATTTATCGTAAAGACCTTAAACAAATAAAACCAGGAAAAAAAAATCCAACTTATAAATGGGCAAGGGACATGAACACACACTTAAAAGAAGCT